TTAAGTTACAGTCGATTCACTAATTAAGATAATTGAAGTGATAAAAAAATATAGTATGAACATAGATCCAGTCTATAATTAGCAACGCAATATAAGGAAGAACGATCTCTAGTAACGTACAGTAGAATACAACAGTGAATTAATTCAATATAAATTTTACATTTACTTAAAGACGGAAAATTAGTGACCAACACAAATGGAACCTAAAAAAACCACACCGTTTTAAAAGTTAGAAGAAAATAGGTGATAGAATTTAAGACAGGAGAAACTTAAATGTTCAAACTTTTTACTTAAAAAAATGAAAAAAATTAGTGAATTTGAGCCATAGCGACTATTTTTCATCTATTTCGGTTAAACTCCTTAATTATAAGTTGTAGCTAGTCCACGAAACTCCCACAGGATGTCGGTATACTTCATACATGTAGTTAGAGACTATGTAGGTTGAAGATGAGTCTTGGTTTGACAACATGGGATTATCTTTTATCTTTAGAACACCGAAGTTAACTCAGTACACCGGAGTATAGGATAGCTCAGCATACGTTACAAATGTTTTGTCAACCTTAGATAACCGTTTATAAACTTATCAACCAGCACGTTTTTCTTGTCTTCTCTTTACTCTATATTAAGATTTAACATCACTCAATCTGTTGTCCAACCAAATACAAGTGATATTCTGTCGAGACTTACAATATAATAACTATAACCAAGACATATCTTAAATTGCACAGTAGTTAAATCAGATGGAAAACTATGATAACCGAGAAACTCCGTTTAATTCTAACTTTTGCACACATGGTTTAAAGCTTGATTGTCGTTCTTTATCAGTCAGTATTTTTAATCTATAAAAACATATACTGAAATGTCTTTTTAAAAAAACAATCTAGTATATGAAATTCAATTAGAAGCATCTTTAAAATTAGTCATGATAACAGTATAGAAAGTATATTCTAATGACTTTGGAATTAACAGCTCAAATTTTGTCGGGATATCTACTGGATTTAATTGATAACGAGATAAGCGGTTTAGTTGGATCACATAGTGTTTTGTCCAATAGTAAGTAAATGTTAAACTAGAAACCATTCTAGTCACTAAATACTTAACATAAAGCTAGTCCCATGAATTCAGCACAGTATTAAAAGTTAAAAGCTGTGAAGTAAAAAATCACTTCTCAATATAACCACCGTAGACTTAGTTCCTTATGGCCAACTGCTCTATTCATTCAGATTAAGTAAATAATAATAAGGTATGATGTAATTGCTGTGATGTGGTGTCCGAGAGCTGATACTGATACGCATTCCTCCCGTACACAATCCCAGTCACTTGAAAGAAAGAAGAGCAAAAAAGGAAGTTTATTTAGACTAAATGGATAAAGAAAACAACTGTACACTAGTTTAGGCACATGTGTTTATCCCTTAGGAAGTTAACCTTGTCAGTAGTTAATGTCTTTGCAAAATAAAACTATTCCTTGGCCAATCACAGACACGTCTTATTTGGCAGTTTCTGATTGGCACAATGTATCAACGTGTCCTTATGTGGCGATTCTTGATTGACCTACTGTTGTAGTAATTCAGTTAAGCCAGTATCAGTTTATGTATTCGACTTTTAATCGAAAGTTGGTATGTTTTGCATATGATTGAAACTATATAATTGAAGATTAAGTGCTTTAATCACTGAGTCACTAAATAAAATGGGCAAAACAAACTTCTTTCTAAATTTAAAATGATTAAAACAATGAAATAAATTACAATAATGAAACATTTGTCAGGTAAAATGTTATGTCCCGATAAGAATAATGAGTGGTAAATTTTGGGATCTATTTATGGACCAATACTGTGCGTATATTTTTATCGTATAATTGTTAATCAACTAAACTATTCATATTCATGTCGCTCTTATCGTGATATTATGGGAAGAAAAGTCAATATTCGATTGATTTAATCAATATGAGTTTTATTCATCATCACCATCATCGTAGTCGTCATAGTGTTTTGGGGCTAATAAATCTTCACTTATACCAGTCTTGTGTTCTTACTTTTGCGTCGTGGAAATCGCAGAGGTCCCTCGTTCCAAGTATAAATGATCAGCGTTTTTCCAGCACAGCAATCAGCGACGACCAGACATAACAATTGACGACGGGGCAAAAAAATACAATCCAAAGTCAGCGTGTAATTGGATGAAATTCAGTCCAATTTTTTTCGAGCAATCAGCATTCAGATTTGTCATCAGTGTCCTGCAACGACATTGGTCACTATTCATCCAGTAATTTTCATTACCGGTGCTGATTCAAAAGACTCTCCCTTCCGATCGATTACAACTGCTATTTGAGCGACAATTGGAGTTCTTAATCAAATTACGCACGCAGCTGCTGAATCACTCATGCTTTGGTGATGCGACGGAAGTGGATAGATTGATTTCTCAATTGCACACTGAGCTAGAAAATGATTGCAGCCTCCATGAATCCTTGGCAAACCGTAATTTAAACGAAACGGCATTCATTCAAGATCCGTCCAACGGTCCAGTACTGCCCATTTCAGAAACATGCCTGCTAATGGATTCAAATCCCATTGTCCCCGAAACAAAATATACAAACACTGACATGTCCAGCTTACAGAAAGACGGTGTCTTATTAAATGCTCATGAACTTATTGCAGTATCCGCCCACGGACAAACAGAAAATCAATCAAGCAGCATAATGAAGTCAGATGCATCAAATGCAGCTCATCATTCTATGACAAAAGCATCTGATCAATCTACTTATCGCGGTTCTCTAGTTGTTTTGCCAGATATGAGTTATCTTGATGACTCACATGCTTTCGATCAAATTTTTCCGGCACAGAAATCAGTGACGACCAGATATAACAATTGGCGACGGTGATGGGATTTGAATCCATTACCGGACATGTTTCTGAAATGGGCAGTACTGGACCGTTGGACGGATCTTGAATGACTGCCGTTTCGTTTAAATTAAGGTTTGCCAAGGATTCATGGAGGCTGCAACCATTTTCCAGCTCAGTGTGCAATTGAGAAATCAATCCATCCACTTCGAAGTATAAGTGATCAGTGTTTTTCCGGCACAGCAATCAGCGACGATCAGACATAACATAAAAACATTAGCTATTTATCAGTTAGCTTATTTTGTTTGTATGTTTTATTAGTTGAGGAAGTAGTAGTACACAACAATATATATATATATATATATATATATATATATATATATATATATATATATCAATGGTTATGATAAATAAAAAAAACCAAAAAACGTTTTATTGTCATCTAAAAAGCAAACCACATTTCGATTGAAGCTATTTAAGATTGTATGTCAGACAAATAGAACATTGATATATTTACCGTTTAATAAACAAGACCAGATAAACAAATAACTAATATTTTATAAAAGTTTTACTAGTGGAATCTAGATTGTAGGCTTCATCATCCTACTTGTGTTTATTCGTCATCAAAACTGATTTAAGTGGATCTTTTCTACAGTTTTAATGGAAACATGAATCCGGAACAATTTCAACTTGTCATTAGTCTTAGCTAATTTGTCTCATTTGTCTTAGGATAACTGTATTGAAGTTATTTATAAGAAACTGAATATAACAACTTGATATATCAGTTTATTGTTGATAAATGTTTAAAAAATAATTGCGTCTCAGAAATTTGTAGGGAATAAGTAAAAATGGTTTTTCACATATTTTTAGCACTTTGTATTAGAAAACACAAAACCAATTATGATTCAAATCTTATCATACAGTAAGTACAGGCTAGAAAACCATTATAGGGGAGCAAATTAACCCGAGTTTTATATTTGACGAAATGATTCATCATGACCACAAACTATCTGTTATGGAAAGGATTAAAACTTGTGTTATACACCTCGGTGTTAATTAGTCTAGCAACTATTAAGTTTATGAACTAAGCAAACTAGAATGAAAACATATGTAGAATTTACCTTACGGATTGGGTAAAGTAAACTTTTGTAATTGGCTAATTCAGAAGAAAACATTAATCTAAGTGCCTGAAAGATCAATATTCGATGATTATTTCACAAGTGGATGTCTTCAAGTAAGAAAAACTGATCAAATTAGAAAACTTACCTACATGTTAACATTTAACAGATTACGAACAGAATATTTCTTGTTATACTATAAATACTAATGACGGATATATGTAATTAAAAATTAGTAACACTAGTGGTCCCAAGTTATTAGCCAAATTGACGCAAGCTAATGACAGGCGGTTGTCATAGTTTGTTTATCGGTGTAATACTGTAGTTCAATGATCTCAGCACATGGATTTTGTTGATCGAGTCACCTAATAAAATTTGATTAGCACGGTAGCGGCGTTAATCTCAGATAATAGGTATGGATTGCAACGAAGTTTACCAGTACGATTCGGATTTGTGTTATAATCAACAGAGAGCTTCAAATAATCAGACTTATTGAACAACATTATTTCAGCAAGCTTTTTCTACTCCACTGATTACTTTTAATTACTCCAGTTTGCTCTTGCTAAACTACAAATAGCCCCATCTGAAAACAGTGACACGCTATATAATACAATAACACTCTTTTGAACAACACTGTCAACAAGTACTTCAACCAACAAGAAAAAGAATTAACAAAGGCAATGTCAGAATTCAAGTTAAGAGAGAAAACAACTAAAAAGAACATAGAAGCAACGGCCACAGAGTTAGATAAAAAAGCAATCAAATTCCAGGTCAACAAGACAAACTATTATTCAGTTGTGAAGGGATTCTAGTAGCTCACTTCTCTTTGAAGTACGTGCTGATGACGTTATTCAAAAGAAAAATGAAAGCTTCTCAACCAATCCGTTCAGTTCAGAGATCATAACTTCAACATGATATACATTATTTAACGCCAATAGTATACATCAATAATATGAATTATTTTTGGATCAAGAATGAGCTGATTTGTCTGTTAACATGAATAGCTTTGATATTTTAAACTAAATGATAAAGAAGACACTTCACTTACCCCTAAAAAAATATTATTTGATGCATCAAATCCAGCTGCATATAAACGAGCAGTGTAAGGTGGATCACGATCGATGTGAATACGACAAGCAAAACGTGAAACAGCACTTTCATAATTACCACGATTAGAATCTTTCGAATTATTATGATCGACGTGTTGTTGATCATTTTGACTAACTGATAGTTTTGGTTCGGATACAACAAAATCTATGTGATTATCAGTACTTCGACCAATCTAGAAAAAATATTAATCAAAGTATGTACCAATAGATAAATAAAATTAAATGTTACAAAAATATTAAACTGAAAACAATAAAAAGTTTTAACTCTGTGAAAAATAGACAGTTACTAATGTACTTCAACTTAAACTATAAAGTTAATACGAAAGATGAGGATACTTTTGTTTGAGTTCGGTCAATTATATGGGTGAGAAAATTGCTATAAAAAAGTGTACAGTCTAATGTCAAATGTTACTAACTTTGGCAATGAATTAAAATATTTCTAGGCTATTTTGCTGATATCAAATGAGTTGTATGAAGGCTATGTAGTTAGGATATACATCCGTTGTGTTTGTGTCCGACTTCAACGCAATCTAACATAACATACTAGGTTTCGAGTTGCATTCATTGTGTATGAATTATTGTTACTATTCCAATACTCAAAACTGAGTAGGTTGAACATTATTTAAACTCGTAGTGCAGTTTTTGGAAGAGAAGAGCTTGAATAATAAAACCACAAATTTAATACTCTGAGATAAAACCAAACATTATAACATTGACAAAATATAATAATGTTTCAATGAAAGTGTAATGTAACATAACGTTAACTGTTGCTGAAAACGAGCGTTTTAAACAATAAGGAATACAATTTACGCTTTACTAAGTGAAAAAAGCGAATATAGTAGGCAATTATGAGAATTACCTGAAACATATCCACTTTAGGATCAGGCACATATTCTACAACTACTGTAACATTCCTCGATAAAGTAAATGAGATGGCAGGTGTATTCCGATTTGTCACTGCCTAGAAATGGAGAAATAAAACTCAAATAATTATTATAAAAATCCCTCCAAAAAAGTCGATGTGAAATAGGAAAGGCAAAATTCAAAATTAAACTAGAAGCCAGTGAAATGACGATGAAAAAAATATTTTAGAGTTCAACTTGTTAAAATATCAATTTTTGGATAATAGACTGACACTATTTTGTATAATATTCAACAGCATACGAAAAGTCGTATTTTTGAAACACTGTTTTGTGGAAGGTGGTAGATAATACTACTTGTTAATAGGTGTTATATAGCATGCGAATCAAGTAAATATTTTTTTCAAAGAGTATTTTCTTTCTAGTCAATCATTTTAAAATCATTCAATAAAATCATGAAGAAGCAAAAAGAGTAATGTAATAATGATTTACAGTTTAGAATATAATTTGATGAAATAAATAAAACATTGTTGACGTACACAGAAGTGAAACAAATGTTTTTCGGGTATCAACCAGATTTACCTTAGTTCAGTTAAGAAGCTAATCAAAATCTATCACCATATAGTGTTTATCATGATGGAGATTATTTTTTAGCTCAGATGGTTTGCATTGTGTGCTTTAGTTTAATCGCAATGCTTTTAATATTGTTCTGGACAATATCATCTACTTGATGTACGAGTTGATAAAGTTGTGTAGAATGATAACGAAACGTTCGCAATTAAACCATACAACTCACAGTGCGTAACACAATGAAAAGTTTTCATCACTTTAATTTCAATGAATAAGTAACCGATGAAATTCAAGTAAATGATTGATGCACTTTCACTTTATGTTAAATAGGCTATGTGGCTAAATGAAGTGAAATAAAAGGTTGGATTCAATAAAAGTACAATACGTACAATATTATATGAGTGCTCATATTTGTCCAACCGCTCCAAGAAAACTACTTACAAAACAAAATTCCGGAAGTTTACGAAATTTTAACTACAGGTGTAGTGAACAGAAACTTAGGTGAGGAAAACCAATTTACATAGTGACTTTATAAAAGATGACAATCATACATTAACTATATCATTTACACATCTTCCTTCAGTTATCCTTTACATACTTCAGAATTATTTCAAGTCTGTTGTTACCCCAATCGCTCTCTATTTCTATTTCTGTTCTCCTCCGCTGATAGGCATTCCGCTCCTGATCGTAGCTACATACTACTTATATATATCAGCATTAGTAGCATACAATACACAGGAAGCAATAAGACGAAAATCAAGTGGATTATGGGAGATATGAATAGAGTTGGACAAGAAAGCGTGAATATGAGTGGTGTGTATTTAGGGAATACATAAGACATTAATTCATTCATGCAATCTTCATAAGTTAAAAAATGTTGTGAAACCACATGATGGTACTGTTTGAAGAGAATTATAATTTAGTCATAAGACAGATTAGGTTTCACAATCTACTATGTTTTCAAAGACTTCAGTTGTAACTGGTGTATGCGTAGAACCATCATGAAAGATAATAACTAAAGATTAAAAAATTCACTCTTATAAAATAACATGCAAAATTATTAGGACTTTAGATATGAAATAACTAACAATTATATATATATATCACTGCATGTGGACACACATTCGGTTGGATCAATATCGAAATTTTCAATGGAGGGTATACTAAGAACACCAGGGAGTTCTTAGAAGATTGGCACTCAGGTCAATCAACAAACACGTCAAAATCGATCGAGTTTATCAACCAATCAGAAAAGTCATGGACAAATATAGGACCAAGAATCAGTTCAATGGGAGATACGACCAAAATAAAAAGGCAGGTAATGACAAGTTAGAGGTCGACAATAAACAATCAAGATCGAGATCGACGGGACAAGATGTGAGTCACATTTGGCGAAAGTCGAATACTTTCCTTCTACCTGGAGTTTGTGCTGATAATGTCGTTGGGAAGAACAATGAAGAATACACGACTGAACCACCTCTCCACTAAAACCATCCACTTGAGCTACAAATTTTCACTATCTCAGTTTCGATAGAGTAGCTGTTCTACCTATAACTTTTTAGACAGTCATAATTGTTTATAAGTTTAGTACGTAAATGAACAAAAATTTGATAATGTAGTAAATGTTTTTCTATTATTTTTCATGTGCGTTCTTAAAAAAACAAAAGAATGCAGAGTAAACAAAGTTTAATTAAAAATATTTAGCGATCAATATTTACCCCTATGAAGTTAAGCTTTTAATGTCTAATTTAATGTCACATAGATTAGATTTTTGCATCATTTTGTTAGTTGTACTGAAGAGCCAACTTTTTAAACTCTAAAAGGTTAAATAGTTACTGTTCGGAATCGTATCCGGGTACCGAAACATGTACATATTTACTGAGCAAAATTCAATTATCAATCAATTTACTTAGTGGACAATAAAGTGGATTTATTCAAAAACGGAAAAGTTATAAAATAAAGTCTGGTTATTCTAAAAATATCTGATACATAAATGACGATAAATTAATTAAAAACAAAATATTACATTATGTGTTTCGTCAATTTTACTGTTTAACTAAAAGTTGTCATTTAACATAAATAGGAATATTTGATACTGAAGTAATGCAATAAAAAACGTATTGAAAATGAACCTAACATATACAAGACGGTTAGTAAAAAGACATTACTACATTTTTTCTATTTGTTAACAGAGATGTAAACTACAATATAATGTCGTTCACTTATTTAACAATCAAGCTGTTAAGCTTAAACTTAGTTACACATACCTATTCGTAAATTATAAACTGAATTCACGTTGGTTTTTTTTAAAGAAATGAATCCTTATTTTCCTAGGTAATCAGTACCAGTAGTATACAAGACAGTATTATTGGATACCACTAGGTTATGAGGACTATTTTTAAAATGATAACCACTAGACATCAATACAATAATGACCATAACATCTCATGTGCTTACATATAAATGTGACAGGAAAGAGGATAAACTGAATAAGCCAATATACTGTATCACGATATTTTAAGGAGTAAAATAAAAACTGAGAATTATCTAATCCCACCAACAATTTTTTTAAAATTGTCCCCCACCACCCGGAAAACTTTTTTCCACCCCAAAATTACAATATTTTTCATCCCCTGTTTCGTCCAATGAAATGGGTAGTTTTAAAACTTCGATGTAATTGGTTAGTTATGTCTTAAAAATTGTTATAAATTATCAGTACTTATAGACAATGTACATTTAGACTGTCATTATGGAGGACAGTAACGTTCCAAGTACAAGCGCTGTTGTTTCTCACGTAACGGAACTGGATGAAGTGTTTTTAACAACCATGTTTTTGGTTGCGTTTCCATCGGTTGAAGCGTTGAAGACGGCTATCATCAATTATGAAAGGTCGAGTAACAGTCATTATGTTGTGCGAGATTCGCATATTAGTCGAGATCAAAATTCTTATATAAAATTTGTGTGTTGGAGAAACGTGCGTATAAGATCGAGCGGTTCGTCACAGCGTATTAGACGGAGGAGGTAATTTGGTTAATGTTATTATAATTTGTTCCACGGAGCGCTTCCATGAACACCCAATGTCCGGCTTTCACATTTTGTAAGATTGTAGACGGCTACTGGACTGTCGTACGTGGGAATGTGCATCACAATCACGAATGTAGTTCCCTGAGGTACGAAGGTAATTCATGGGTGCGTAGGTTAACGGAAGGTGGGCTCGAAGCTGTTAAACCGCTGCTGCATTCCACGTAAAGAATTTTGTTTACTAATCTTATGGTAAACGACTGACTGGTCAAGACTTCTGTATATCCCAGTGCAATCGAGTCAGCCGAACCTGAGGAATGAAGCTAGAGATATAGTCAGGCGAATGTCTGACGAACAAATCAGTTCACTTCATCGCTTCCTAGTACAACAACACCGTTGGATTTGCATGGAGAACAGCATTTGTATGCCCAGCCAGTCGACTGACGTAACACAACCGTTTATGCAACGAAGATCTGTTGATTTGGATCATATGCTCAGTGAACATGAGGAGGAAGTATATAGTATTACCTCTGACGAGTTAACTGAACGGGACATTCAAAGTGAACAAGAGGATGAAGAGAATAGATTATGCGATATCTGTAATCTTGCGCAGCCGCCTTGTGAAACTAATGATACGGTTGGTTGGGTTTTCTGTAGATGTGAAGCTATGTTTCATACCTTCTGTGCCTACGACCCATCACCGAACATCCGAGCTATTCATTGTCCTATGTGCGGCGCCATTTCGAACTAAAACGAGAACGAATAAAGGCTTTTTCAAGGCCACCCACAATTTGATTTACATTATTTCTGATTTTCACTTCTTTTCCATGGCCAAGGTCAAGTTATTAAAATATCCCTTAGAGATTAATAATCGAAATTAATGTCTAATGGGATTATCATTCATGTTTTGGTAAACTTATTTCTAACGTTTATTAGATATAAAGGTTAACAAAACTTAGATAGCATTTTGTCATCTAGTATTTTTAGATTTAAGATAATGTGATTACCGTTCACATATTAGTAACACATTTGTAAACTATCTATTAATAGTACACTTTTAATAGGAATATTTCAATATAGTGATAATTGTAACTTTTTCAAAAGGTCAAGGAATTTAGAATTTCATTGATTAGTGAATATAATATGATAACAATGATGAATGTGATTAAAGCTCATAGAGAAGTGAAGACAATTAAGAAAAATATCTTCTTTATGAATATAAAAAAATGTTAAACAGTAATTACTTAAATTATTAACGTGATTAAAGGTCATATAGTGGGTGTAAAAAGGAATAAGAATATAATCCGTTTCATGAATACAAAAATATTAAATTTATATTCTTGTGTTATATTAAAAGTACATTAAAGCAGAACTATGCGTACGTCTGATTGTCAACTACGCATTTATTGTTATTCATCAATACTGATTACAACACCGTATTAACTTACACAACTATATAATAAAATAATTTAGCGAACAATCGTTTTCAATAACTTCCTCATCATACTAT